TCACAAACATTGCATTGATTTGGCTACTACCCACAAACAAAATTTGAATATGAAGTAGATTTTGATTTTTGTAGCTAACACCTTCACGAACATGCCGCATCTTAAGAGTCTTCCAACCTTGTATTTCTGGAAAAGGGTGGTGCTCTCCGCTGTGTGTTTGATTTTTGACATTTGAATATCAAAGTTTAGCAACAATTTAAAACTGCTACTAAATAACCATCGTAAAAAGTTTATGTTAGTTTCTAAAAGTCACATACAACTGCCGCTCTTTAGTTTAGTGTAGCCAATTTTAGCGTTAATTTCTTAATTGCCACAAATTATTTAGAGACAGGTAAAATTGCTATTAATTGAAAAACTTAACTGCAACTAATGATGCGATATTTTTTGTAGTGTCATTGGGTTGCCACCTTCATAGAGCTTAAGAAAGGTTCATTTGAAAGTTAATGCCATAATTGTCTTCTTCTTTGTGGCTGATACATTCACTATATGACCCATATCCAATCTTTGGTATGGTTCATTAACAATGCAATGGTATGGATGAGAGGTAAAAGAAGAAATAAAAGGAGAAATGCAATACCCTCTTTTCTGCAAACTCATCTCTCAGACCTGATTAGTGTAAAATCAACTACAATTGAGTAGATACACTAAATAAAGAAAATAATTGTTTGACTAGATTGATTATAGAGATAATTTGAATTACTATTGATTTTTTAAAATTAGTTTGAGGCAATTTTGACTTCATTTGGGACTGTTTGGTAGCAATCCTAATATCTGTTAAGTAAAATTCTATAGTCTGATAGAAATTTTTCCAGAGATAAAAAATAACTTTATAAAATTATTTTCAAGAGAAAATTAAATTTTTAGAATTTATTTCATTAGTTTCACAAATTAGTGCGATATGAAATTATATTGTGAAATAATATTTATGAAGAAAATGCAATTGTGATCAGGGGCCCCAAAGATATTTAATAATATCATATTGCAGATGAACTTTTCTTGAGGTTGAGAATAAAATGAGAATCAAGGCAAGAACGACTAATCTGACCCATTTTTATTAAATGACAAAAAGTTATTTTTTATTACAAGTCATTATTTCACTTTCTTTTCTAAGATTTCTATTTTAAATATAGGCCCTTGGTCATGATTTGCAAGGACAAAATCCTATCCATTAAATGTTTTAATTTTCTAAAATGTAAATCTAATCCAATATTCAATCTTGAGCATTGGTTCAAAATTTTAAGGATGCATTCTGACTGTTGAATTCTTTTTCCTTCTTCGAGGAAAGGACAAATGATCACTTCTCTTTCCTTTTCCCCCTTATTTGGCCGTAAGAATCACTCCACTTTGATATTTTGAGTTTTTGCAAAATTTTCTCTAAACCTCCCTCCAAAAAATGTGAAGAATTTGGTGCATTTTTTAAGTTCTTTCATTTTCTCTTCTCTTGCACTACAAACCGTCACTTTTCCTTGCTCCTTAGTCACCATTTCATTATGTCCTTCTTGCTTTTCCCTCTCATTTCTCTTTTTTCTTAAACTCTCCTTTGGTTTAGGAGAGTTTTGCAAATTGAGTGTTTGAGAAACTACCATTTTGCACCACCTTTGAAAGATTTTCTTAGAATACCAAAGGAGCCTTTGGAGCAAGCTTTTGGATTGTCTATTTGGAAGAGATCATTTTTCACCCGAAGCCTTCTTTTCTCTCCCATTTTCGTGCTTCTTCAAACAAGGTACAAGGGGGAAAGTGTTCTTTGTATTCTGCTAGCTTTCTTTAAATAAAATGGAGTTCTACCTTGAGACTCCCCATAGGTGGTTGTAGAAAGTGAAAATCCATATTTTTTTTTTTAATCTATTTTGAGGATATTTTTCTCTTATATTCTTCAAATGTGATGGAATATAGTCTTGCTTGTTTTAGATGCTTTGATGTGAGTTTTATATATTTTCTAAGTATCACAACCCATAAAAGTGTTACTTGTTATATTTAATGTTGGTTGTATATCATGTGGCATATTGTGAGTAATTCACGTGAAAGTATAGGGGAATGTATTTTGTGCATAAAAAAAAAATTTAGTGTGAAGGAATGATTTTGGAAGTAAGTTTCCACAAAAGTTTGAGAAACTTCTAAAAAAAGTGTGTACTTGAACTTTTGTACATAGACTTCACTAAAAAGAGTTAGAACATTTAAGAAATACTTTACTAATGAGTTGAAGTACTAAATTTCCAAAATAAAAATGCGTAAGTGCTTTAAGAGAAAATATTATTTCAAAACTAATTTATACAAAATAAATGTCTTTTTATATATTAAAAATTACAATAAAAATATTATAACTAAGTTTGTAGAAAAGAAAACATGTAAATCTTGTAAAAATAAAGTTATATTATATATATATATATATATATATATATATATATATTATGCCTCCATAATTTTATTTTAACAAAAAATAACTTACAACTTTTACCCAATGGTTCTTTACAAAGAGTTTATGTGTTAGTTACTAAATCTCAAAGAAAAGTATTATATGCGTATGTTTACAAAAGTTTTAATTATTATGAAAAATTTGATGAAAAATCTTAAAATTATATAAAAATATGTAATCTGAGACTTGTAAAAATTTGGAGTATTTTTGAGAAAAATGTGTACTTGTATAATTTTCAAAAGGTAATAGAAGAGTCTCGAAACAAAAAAAGATTTTGCTATATAAAATCATAAACTTTAAGAAAAGAATAATAAATTTATAAGAAATAAAGTATTGAAAAATTTAATGTGGTTGAGCATATATATTGATATTGAGTCTTGCATAAGGAAAGAGGTGGCATCTTGGTGAGGATGACTAGAAGTCCATGGGACTTACATAAAATGTGTATTAAAATTCTAAAGATATTAATAATATCATAAATTTGAAATGATAAATGACACATGCATGGTAATAATATGGTCGTGAAAACTACAATTTTGTACAATTAGAAAATATTTTGTTATTCAAGTTCTAACATAACTTTGAAGATGGTCTAGGGGTGATGTCTTGTAACATTGAATAACTCCTTGTTAGCTAGACAAAACGCATGCAAACCTTCGTCATCTTTACCCATGCAATCATTATTATGATTATTATAGGTCTATTCCTAAACTCGTTCATGGGGCATATGTTTTGTCAACAAAAATAATGATTTGACTATGTGCTTGTATTAGTAGGAAATAAAATCTTTCAATTACTTCTAAAGAATGGTAGTTATGCAATGCATTGTGACATTCACATATTTGAGTCCACATGCATGGCATGAGACTAAAGTTAAGAAAGTTAACTCTTAATTAGACTCGCATCCTTCATTGCATCTTGCATGAAGTGTATGTTTTCATATTATTTAAATATGAACTTTGTATGAGATTTTAATATTATTTATGCTAGAAGAGACTACGTGTAAAATAAATATGAAAACGTAAGCTTATCTCATGTATTTGCATGTGCTTCTATTTCTTTTCTCTTTGAACCGTGCAATGAGATGCACTTCAGATGGGCCCAATGATGATGATGACATTGGTGATGCTTCTCAACGACCAAGTATGGTCATATGACACCAAACAAGTGCTTGGATATTGAGATAGAAGATAGACTTTTATGGTAACATTAAGCTTCTAGAAAGTGATAAATGGGTAGAAGGTATTTTGAATTATTGATAAGTAGAATTACTACTTTGTAGATTTTCTTGGAATGTATTTTTATGTAACTTAGAATGAAAACTTTTATTTGTAATTTTACCTTTTTTTTTAACCATCTTTTGTAATACTTTAAACATTTTAATATTTTGTTTATCTTATGTAAAAGTCATAACTTCTAATTTTAAAAAATTTGATGTAATTGAATAGTTATTATGTATTTTTTAATTCATGAAGGAGTTATAATTTTATTATATGATTAATTTATTATCCATTACATTAAATATATTCTTTATTATATATATATATATATATATATATATATATATATATAAGAATGAGAGTGAGAATCGATGGTCTTATAGGAAAGAAAAAAGAAAGAAGTTAATTAATATACATAATAACTTTTTACTAAAGTTAACATTTTTTTATTGAAAAATTTTATTTAAAATATTTTTATAAGTTAAGAAAATAAAATTAAAAAATTTAAAGGAATAAATCAAAATAAAATTAAAAGTTAAGAGATAAATTTACATAATATTTTTATATGTAAAATTTGTATTTTTTTTAACATAACTATATCATATTAGTTAATAATATGAAAATAAAATCAAAATTTTAATAATAATTTTTTTATTTATCTATGAATGTCATAGATGTTCTATATATAACAAAAAATATCAGTTTTATATTCATATTATAAGTTTCTCTTACCATTGCCTTGTAAAGAAAATAAAAAAATAAAAAACAGAAAATTAATTATAGACTAACAAATTTTTTATACGATATTTTAACATTAAAATATTGTTTAAATAAGCAATATAAAAATATAAAGAAAGATAAATTGATATATTTTGTAAAATATCTATCACTAGAAATTGAATGAGTTTTTATTTTGAAGTAAAAATATTTTTAAAAATATTAATTATTAGTTATATTTATCTTATATTTAATATTTTATTTTTTTAATTCAATTTTAATTTTTGATTTGATTTTTAATTTTAAAAAACTTGTATAAGAAACTTATTAATTTTTAAAAATATTTTTTATTTAACAAAAATAAATATAAAAGGTAGATAAAGAGCTTGGTTGCTTTAAGCTTAAAAGTAAAAAGAAAAAGTTATTTTTACACTTTTTAATTAAAAAATAGACTATATAATAAAATTGCATAATTTAAATTAATTTATATACATATTTTAATTGTATTTAATACTTTAAAATAATTTTATTTAAATTTAAACTACGCTGATACAAACTCAACACTCTCTATAAAAACATTTTACATAACAGGTCAGTATCCCACACGCGCTTTAGAATTTGGAGTGGAAACATTCTCATCAGCAGCAAAGACTGAATCCAATTTGCAATCGATGCAGAGACAGAACCAAAAACCCAGAAACAAAAACAAAAGACATAACAAAACAAAAGAAACCTTAACATAACAGTTAACAAATGGCATCATTGGCGACCCATTTCTCAGCCTCTGTCTTGTTCATCCCCATTGGCCTTCGCCGCTTAGTCTCTTCCTCTTCTCTCTTCCTTCAAAACCCATCTCACTTCAGATCCAAGCTTTGGTATTTCTCTGACCAAAACTTCAAGAACTTCGATCTCTATGCTCTTCTCATAGCCTTACCCATTGCTTCATTCTCCGAGCTTTTCATCTTCTTCTCCTTCTCTGGCCACCCCAATTACAGATTCTCCTTCATCCACCAATCTCTCACACTTTTGGCCTTCTGGGTCTTGATCATCTTGATCATAGTTCGTGAATTCATGGGCACATCCTTGGTTAATGAAAGTTTCGTTTTTGTGTTTGGTGGGGCTGTTTTCTTGATGGAGTATTCTGTGATGGGTAAAGGGGTTTCAGGTCTTGCTGGTGTTTTGTATGGATTTTTGGGAGGATTGACCCTTGTGTGTGCTGGTTCTTGCATTTACTTGTCGGTTAAGCCTTCTGCATTTTTTGCTGAGTTCTTGTTGTGTTCTGGGATGGTTTTCAAGGGCACTTGGTTGCTGCAAGCTGGGTTTTCTTTGTACACTGATGCTTTTGGGTTGAAAGGGTGTCAAAAGGTTTCATTTTTGGAACCCCAGAAGGAGAGTCTGGACGTGCATTGTGATCTTGTTGAGGATAGCTTGAGGGGTGTTGCTTTGATGCATTTCCTGTTCACTGTGCATGCCATTGTGGTCATGATTTTGGGTGTTGGTGTGTTTGGAGTGTTGGCGAGTAACCGGAGCATGAGGTGTGGGGAGGCGAGGGGGCCATTGCTTGCTGAACTCGAATCCACGGGCACGAGGATGCGTGCTCTTCCTGAGCTGGAGATGGATTGAAATGTGAATGGTTTTGATGCAGACAAAGAAGTAAAGTGTGCGGTGTGAATAATTATCCTTTTTACCAACTTTTCTTTAGTTTGTTCTTAAACTAACTTTGTAGCAATGTTTCTCGTCAAGATACTTCAAACAAGATGTTTACAATCATAATCAATGAAAGTTATAGTATTTGGAATAAGCTTGACGATAGGCATCTTTTTCTATGTTTTTATGTTGAACCATAGTTACCAAATACGTGGTTCATGTTGGTATACAGTTCGTCGCATTCTACAATGTTATTACCTCCTATGTGTTGAATCATTATGCTTTTTGCATCCTAGGTGGATAGGGCTCAGGTTTCCTCTTCGCTGTCTTAGGTCCAGGTATTCTCAAGTACCTAAAATACAAAGAACAGTTGCACAAGAACAACCTCTTTGATCCTCTTCTAATTCTAAAGTCAGTATCAAGAAAAAGGAATAATTCTAGGAAGAGGAGTGAGGCAGGCAGAATGAGCCTACCTTCATAATGACAAGGGTTTGGTATTATTATTATTATTACTGCTACTATTACTATGGGTTTATCCCTGTTTTTTCTGAACGACATGCATGGCCTCATATCATATTACTGAATTTGCTTAGGTGAAAATGTCCATTGTATTGCTGCCATCCAACTTACATGAGAAATGGAAAAAAAATTTCCTGCTGTAGGTTGTTACATACAGCAAAATTTTAAGAACAAATAAAGGTAGAACTTCATGCAACATTGGGAGTTGTTTCCTTGAGTTTTAGTATATTTATATACTTATATCAAACCATGGATATAGGAGCAAGTGTTTGAAGTTAGAATTATGGTTGTTGTAGCATTTCAGTCTTAAGTCTGATACTTTCTATTGAATAGTGAAATCAAACATTTAGATGAAATCTCTCTTGGGAAGTTTTCCCTGATGTTGTGTGGAACATTTTGGTATTAAATTTTGTTATGATAGCTAGACATTTGCATTATACGCACACCATCACAGATTTGGTAGATGTCTAGAAAAATGAATATCCTCCTTTCTTTATAATTACAATCAAGAAGTAGTTGGAAAGCCTGGTAAATTTTACAGATATGCATGAGAAAATAGTGCAGTGAAGTATTTATCTTCAAGGTCCATCTGACTTCCTTAAGGTCCATATATTTACATAAGAAATAATAACTGCAAACAAATCTACTCTATTTTTGTATATCCTGTTGAGGGAAATTTTGGGAACCTCAACCATCGTTGACGAAAGCGTGTAAATCCATGAATTTTAAGTCTGAAACGTATCCTCTTTATTTTTCTTCCAAAGGTGCCCCATCTTTGTTTCAATATGTTATACTTTGATGATCTTATCAACTTCTTTGTATACCTACATCCTGCATAATGAAAATGAAGTGTCAATGAACAATTAGCATGTTGTCACGCACTTTATAATCTTTTCATTTGATATCTATTAATATTGAGTATTGTGTATACTATTAACACTGGTATAATTTGTAGTATAAACAAAATGTTACTAGTATAGCCTTTAAGGGATATTTCTGAAATAAGTTTATAACTGTAGGTTGTCTCCTTAATGTTTTATTGTCAATTGAAATGTGTCAGAAGCAGACCTTGATGTTGTTTCGTTTGTTCATTTTCTTCCAAGTTTGTGTGGTGCAAGACCTGCATGTAAGACAAAAGGATCAAACATTTGTCTAACCAGGTTTAGCTATTTGTTTTGGATGTCCGTCTGATATGCAAAAGTATAGTGTCTGGCGTAAGAAATGACTTTTACTAGGCACTTTGAGCATACAGTGGGTCCCATTTAGGTTTCACTATACGGCTCAAATCTTAATGCTGCCTGTGCAAAATCCATTTTACTAACTTAAATACTTAATGTTGCAATTCAGGTGCTTTTGTACCTCGACCAAATTTTCCAAACGTTTCCTCATCCTTCTCTGAATAAAACCTTTGGTGCTCTGTAGTGCAAATGTCAGTAAATGATGTCAGAGATCAAGAGATACAATTATTAATAGTCCTTAAGAGTTAAGAAGCAATGTTAATATTGCTGTTACCTTTACATGGTTTTTAACATAGGCATTAAAATTTAAGAGATTCCAGACAGTTTTGTCTAGTCTATTGCCTTCAACATGCCGAGAAGAGATATCTATTAAATATCAAGAAGATGTCAGTCACAGATGCCTTGGAATCCATCTTGCTCAACAATTCTTTTGTTGATCTCGTTTCATTTTAATTTAGAGTTTAAAATTGTGTTAGTGTCATCAGTTTATGGCTTGCAGGAAACTAATTCATTGGATAATTGCTCGAGGATAACAATAATATACCAATAGTGAAAAAGCCTCCATTGGTACTCAAATCCTCGAAAGCCTCTCCTCTCAGCTCTGGTGGAGGAATGGCTGACCAGGTGCATGGTGGTGCCTTGGCCCATTTATCTGAACTTCCAACATCCACAAGCTCCTGTCATAGGTAGTAAATAATTGAGTTAAAAGCATATTGAGTTGAAAACAAATTACTTTGTTGTGCTTTCTCAGCTACTAACCTGAAAGAAAGCTGTAGCAATAATCACATCTGATTTTTCTCTGAAACGAATTGGGAATACTGCTATGATTCTTTGTGGCTGTATCAATGCAGCATGTATTATTTGATCAATATGGAAAAGCATTAGAATATGAATAACTTTTACAGGACCAGAGTATTGTTAATGAGTTGTTTTCGGTTACTTGGTTGTTGAAGTTTTCATCATTTTGCTGAGTATGAATAAATTTGGGAGAAGTTGTGAGCCAACAAAAATATGCAATGAAAATAGATTTCATAAGTAAGTGGGTTATTGTTGACTATTTATGGGCATCACAGAATAAGTGTCTCATAGTAAATAGTCGAATGTGATTGACAAGAGAAGATATAAAATCATCATTTGATTCAGGTTCAGAAATTCCTTAGTGTGTGACGTGATCTACTTGAATAACTTATACTTTACATTGTTTATGTGATATCATTCCATTTATTGTTATATCTTGTGAATTTTATTTGGAAGATCATGTTATAGTTTGTATTCTTGTTTTTCTTCTGTGTCATTTGGCACAAGTTCAAAGATTTGATTGCCTATAAATTACCTGCCTGATGAGAAAGAATGGTTCCCTTGGATGGTAGACTAGTTTGATGGGTTTGTACATCCCCTGAATTGCATCATTGGAATTCACATTCCACAATATTTCTTTCAGCTGTGAACTCAAAATTACTGAATGAACTGTTGAAATCTCCCTGATGACCTTGACATGGTCTGGAACAAGAATTGTGTATCATCAGATAGGTTGAAATTTCAAGTTAGATTGAGTCCTTTCATTGTTTAATTGTGTACAATGATTATTTGTGTATCGTTCTATGCTAGGTTTGATTTTCAGTACAAGGAATGTTGATAATATCTTTCTAAGCAGCGTGACATTCATTCAGAATGTCACAACTCACAAGTTTGCTGACCAGATTCTCTAGTCTTCTGATAAGAGAGTTCCTATAGCTGCTAATTTGTCGACATTATGCTTTCCATGTAGTACATACATTATTAACAAAGATTCTCTTTACTAGCTGAATTCTCCTATTATTTTGTACTGATAATATGGCCTCCATTAGCGAGTGAAAAATCTAAGATAATAAATATCTGTGTAATACTGAAAATTTAAAGGTGTTGAGATAATTGAGGTAAACTATGAAGGGAAGTAAGGGTAAGTTAAAGTTATTTTAGTCGGATGACTTGAACCCAAATGTAGTATTATCAGTTTCTAACAGGTTTGCTCAATTCATAAAAAAATTGTGTGAGGGGAAACCATCAATTTACTTGTTCATTCTTGAAGGACAAAACTTAAGTGTAGAACCATTAGTACGTGGAGTTTTTTCAATTAGAATTGGTGTTTTATCTTGATAATCTTCATAATAAAGATCAACATTAAAAGTTAGCATACTAACATTAAAGGTCAACATATATTATCAAAATAAACTTAATTTTAATTGGAGAACAACAACACTAACAATATTTATGGTACTACACCTGCCTAAGTTTTTGGTCATTATCAAGTGGAAGGAAAACTAGATAGCCAAACATTAATTCATATACATTTCTACTTTGCAATACCATTTTTGTCAATGTCACTGCTCTGACAGACTGACACTGATTATATAAATAAAATGTTTGCAATCATCAATTATTATGTTATAATTGAGTTAAAATGGAAGGGTGTCAACTAGGCTGCAAGTTGGTAGGTAAGGGAACCAAACCTTTGCTTCTCGGGATCTCATTGAGTTTAAGCTTCAGAGTAAGCTGATATCCTTCCTTGGCAGGCTCCGCAATTTCCACAACATTAGGACAAAGTCCCTTTACCATTTCAATGGTGTATGATGAAAGTTCATTTGGTAGGACCCCATGGCAAAGAGGTGGCATTGATATTGACAAGTAGGCTACTTGTGGATTAGAGGCTTGAGACTGTAACCATAACACACAAAATCAAATCTTACTGGAAATATTTGTTTAAACTTCAATCTAAAATCTTTAACAATCTAAGGATTTGCACACAAACAAAATAATGCATTACATTGTTTCTTCTAATGTTTGTCATGTAACATGTTTTTATTTTGTTTGAAACAAAGGAAATAGCTACATGTTATTCTCCTTACGAACTAAGATTTTGCCGGAATAATAATTGATAAAAACTGATTGGCCAGATTGTTCAAGCTTGCAAGTTAAGAGTTTTACCTGAATATGGTACTCCACTGACCCAAATTCGTATAAGTGATGATCAATCTCGAGGGGCTTCTCAGCACTGTCATGACATGGAAATGCACTTAGATACTATTTTCTAAATGAGGATTACCACTTACGAAACCATCTTATCATGAATTGTGCACGGTTGCTGATGTTACAACAGTGTTTCACAAACTCTAGAGAAGGGTTCCACTTAATATTTACCTTGTCTAATCAAATGCACAACACTGACTTGAAGGGTATTCTACAGAGAGAGATTATGTAACTAATTAGTTAATTTAATCAGTTTATTAATTAATTTACGTGTTTGATTCAAATATTTTTTAAAAAATTGACTTTTCACATATTAATTAAGAATATGCTCATAATACTCTTTATAAATTTTGGACAATATTTTTGTTTTGACTTATTTTTAAAAAATGAGTTAAGTGTGGTCTATTTCTAATATGATATCAAAGTTATCAAGGGTGCATACAGACAAGAACTTAACTAAATACTTATTTAATATATTTTTTTTTTAAATTATAATTTGTCATAAATTTATCTATAAAATTCATTAATATAAATTAAAAACAACTCATTTTAATAAATTATAACAAGAAATTTATTAAAAAAAGTTAAAAAGAGCTTATAAAAATAATAAATTAAGTCTAAAGTAATTTTAAAAACTTCATTAAAATTGAGAAAACAACAAATGAGGTGATGATATTTGAAGTTCTTCTCCGTAAGAATTTCGATAGATCCAACCAAACTTTTCTTAAGCGGAAAAATCATTTATTGTCTGCCAAAATGATATCAAAGACTAGTGCTGTCAGAAGAGAGGTATCCCGCAGCTTTCTAGTGATTGGTAAAAAGTGATGCTTAAGCTAAGGATTTTGCTGGAGAATATGATGCCACTTCTTTTTCATACGCTTTCCAGATTCTTCAATAATAATTTTATATCACTTAACTATTCTAAGGCTCTCAGCTATCATATTTGTTTCTTTTGTTGTGAAACAAAATAAACCCAAGCTAATCAAATTAAGTTTGTAGAAAATTACTAAAAATGTGTCTACAAGCAAATTATTTAAAAAAGAAAAAAGTTTATAAAAACCTTAGACGTCTGAAAAAGTCTCCATAAAAAACATTTTGGGTGTGTGTTTGTCTACGTATATAGGTCTAGGATTGGTGACAACCCTATTTAAATTAGAAAGCATTCACAATATAACAAAAATTAATTCTCAATAAAGTTTTTCTTATTCTATACACGAACTTAAGCTTGAAATCTTAGATAACAGAATTTAAATACATATCACTAGCTGACAATATATATTCTGAACATTCATTATTTCATTAGTTGATAATAAATGTATTAAAATTAACAAAAATTAATTTCAGATTTTTTTATCATAATTCTTGATCATTTCATTATTTTATCTACAAACACAAAAGTGTAATTTCTTCATTCTTTAAATTTTCTACAAAAGTAACAATGATAAAACTCATAATATTTTTTAATCATATTTCTTGTTTAAAGTTTTCTTTCTGCATCTTGTTTCTATCTTTCAACGAAATCGTGAAGTCTCTTACAAAGTTTTCACAGACATAGGTACTTAGAACAATACATGCATGCATACATATATTTTATATATAAATAAGTTATAAAACTTTATTTGATAAATTACTTAATTATTGTGTGTGTATATATAATAAATAATTGAGTTATCAAATAAAGATAATACAGTGACATTTTTTGTTCCTAACTTTGATGTTGAGAAATTAATTATTTGAGAGTTATTTTTTATTCAGTTGTAGTTATATTAAGGAATTATATAGAGATATTGGTGTCACTTTAATAAATGAAATTGAAAAAAAAAACTATTACTGCTCAATTTTTCATATCCCGCGTCTTATATACTGAGCCTTTTTTATCACATATATATATTATATTTCCAAGTACTAACAGACATTAGTATATTAATTCCATGACTAAGACTATTTTCAATGATGAGATTACCTCGTATGTTATGTTCTGATTCTTTTCCCACTTTCCGTTCACCAAAAACAAAAATGAAAAGAAGAAAAGAACAAAAAACAATCAAATAAATAACTAAACCATGTGCTGTATATCAGGAAAAACAAAATAGAGATTAAAGATAAGGGATAGCAAATTATGAGTGTTTCCTAAACTGTACTAGTTTATTCATACATAAACTCTTCTTACCAGTACAGTTTGAGCAGTATTTGCTTGAGTGCTGGAGATGCTCTCTCTATGCATGCCATTCTGATGATAAAACTCTCTCCTTTTCTGCTGAGATTGTGTGAATTTTTTGCTGTGTCTTAAAATGAACTGACACATACAATTTGAAACTCTCAAACAGTTTTTGGATGTATGAGCTTTGAGTAAAATGTAAGTTCAGTGTTGCAATCATGTTTGGTAACCTTTGAAGCAAATCCACATAGCCATCCACTTCCACTCAACATTCCCCTTTTATTTTATTTTATGATCCTTTCTTTTGTCACTTTCCCTTGTGATTGACTCCTTCCTATAATTGAAATGCTTCTTCTTATGATTCATGAAGAAATTCTTATCTAAAAACGTATGAATGTTTGTTAAAGAATAAATAATAAGAATTTATATATAATAAACTTTTACAAGAAATCACAAAATATTACAAGATCTAATATATTGATAATATTAAATGATATAATTTTTAATAAAATATTATTAATTTTGTATTTTACATTCTTGAACGTACATTATAACAAATACATATACAGAATAATTTTGGTCAGAATTTTTTTTAATGCAATAAGGAAATTTGCGTCCATGTTCAGTGGATGGGTTTTCTGGGGTGTGGAAAAGAATACAGAAGGGTTTCTCTCATTGCACAACGTTGAGCCCCACTTTTTGGACCTTGAAAATGACTATTTGTCGCAAAGGGACAACAACACCTTACCATTTTCTTTTGTTGGTGTTAGACGCTGAGCCATTCTTCAATTAAAATAGAAATTTTGCTTTGTTATTTATCTCAACAGTTATTTGGCAAGATATATACTAATGATAAAACTCTAAAAAACTAATCTTTTAGACCATGATAAACAATACGGTGAGAATTCATATCAATAATATTCTTTTTATACAATCAAATCACTAGATCAAATCTAAAATCACAAGTTTAAGGAATTCAAACCCCTCAACTCAAACTAACACTTGTTGATTCTTTTTATGACATATATTTATTTTCTAATTTTAAATATTAATTTATATGTTTAGACAGTTTTTAATTTATATCTTCACAAGTAAAATTGTATTTTATTTATTTACTTGTTTTTGTACTACCGAAACCTTTTCCTTATAAAATATAATCAAAGTTAAAATTCATTTTTTAATATTTTCCTTTCGTAGTCAAATTTTATTTTTAAAATGAGATTTCAGGTTAAGCCTTATAAATAAACAAAATTATAAATCTATAGGTGAAATATTGCTGATAAAATATTATAAAAGATTGCTTCAGTTATAATAATAATCAATTTCAGTTTTAATTACTTAAATTCAAATCTTAAAACTAATATTAATTAAATGGTTAATCTATGTGCATTATTACAACATTTTATATTTAATATTATTATTTAATAATATAATATTTCAACATACAAAAAATTTAAAACATGAGAGTATAATATAAACGTTAAACGACCTGATAATATTATAAAATGATAATACAAACTTATTTATAACAATATGTTAAAATTAAACTGAAACTTTGTATATGATAGAAAGAAAACCAAGTGCCTTTAAAAGTACTATCCCATATTAGTTTCCACTCCACAAATCTAATTTGATCCGAAATTGAATAATGTATAAAATATAAACATTTAAATGATTGAGTCATGGCTAAAACTTTGGAGAGTGCACATTTATATTTAAAAAAAATAGTTGAGTATATGAAAATGTTTTAAATTGAGTAGCATACAATAGTATTTTCATTTTAAACAACAGAGTGGTTTACAATAGGATCACTGACCTCTATTTATGTTTAATATTGATTTTATTTACAATGTAAATTTATTAAATGAATTCATTTATTTTAATAATTACCTTATACGTTAGACTTATGAAATACTATATTAATAAACTATTAAATGCAAATACAAATTAGGTTGAGAAAATAAATTAAAGTTAAAATTCATGATTTTTAAATATATTATAAATTTAAGTCTTATTTTTTAAAGTAAGACAACATCTCGTACGATTACACAGACACGTGCACGTTTTCTTTATTTTGTGACATGACTTGTAGATTCTCATATGTAATCAATATTTTTTTTCTGCATAATTAATTCTTAAATCAAATTATAGTTATAATTTTCTTAATTAACTTTTTTTAATGTGTGTTTAACTTTCTTTAATCAATATTAGATAAAGCTAGCGCAATATCCCACTCATTGTTTGTAATATTGTAAAATTTAAAATCTTTTAAAAAAATATTTTACTAATAATAAGAATATAAAAATATTGGTATTTGAAAATTTTAATTTTAAAATTTCAAAAGTTTTCATTAAAAAAATAATTTTTTTTAATATTAAAAAGTACTTTATTAATGATAATTTGAAACATTTCATTATGCTTAATCTATATTAATAAACTTTAACTATTAATTAAAATAACTAGAAAAATTAAAAATCTTCTTTAATTGAATAACTAGTTAAAAACATTGATGTAATTAAGAAAGACATAAAATAATAAGTTATATTAAAAAAAATTATATAACTAAGGATGTAAATAAACTAAAATACTCGTAAATTATTTGAGCCCAGTTTGTTAAATGTTTAATTAAATTTATTTATTTAACTAAATAAACAACGTCAAACTTTAATATTAATAGGTGACAAATATATAAATAATTTTATTATTATATTTAATTTAGATTATTATTATTATTTTAATTATTATTATCATTGTATATGTATTATTTATCAAATTTTAATTTTTAATTGTATTTTAAAACAAATCATCCTTTTTTTTAAATATCATTTATCATAATAAAATTTTATTTTCAATCTTAAGTTATCTTTATACAGATAAAATTATATTTCATTAATATTTTACTTTACTTTTTAGTATAAAACTTTTCATTAAATACTAAGTCATTTCTTTTCATTAATATTTCATCCATTTCTTTTTATCACTTTTTTCACAATAGTAAAATTTTTACTGTTTTTCTTTCTTTTCATAATAAAAATTCACCTTACTATGTCATTCATGTATAGTTAAATCATCAATCAATCATTTATATTAATTCTCTTTCATAATTTCTTTTAACATGTAATCAAGTTCACACTAATTCTTTTTATTATTTTTTACTAATAATAGATTTCATTATTCAAAAATAGTCAAACACTCTTCATCAATTAATCTCACATCAATACAATATGCCGAAAGTCGAACACCTTCGAACTCAATCTAATTATACAAATTTAGAAATATATTGTCAGAGACCACACTCTCTCAATCTTTATAAAATAAAAAAAATCATTTATCCTAAGGTTTATCCCTTTTTCCTAACACATGTACATATATATTGAATAACACATGAAAATCTTCTTAAAAACTTATTTTTAAAACATATCATAGGTTATCCATACTCAAAAATTCATTTTTACACTGTATTTGTTAAGAAAATATTAGGGATCTGTCATCCTAAGCAAGAAATTTTGAATTTTAAGCCAAAATATATATAAATAAGAGTTAGGGTTTGGGATCAACTTCCCTTACCTGAATATGTGTCTCTTAAGTCGAGTTTTCCTATAGATCCGAGAGAGAAGCACAATGTTTTGAGAGAAGATATCGCCTTGAAGGTTAAGGTTCTCTTGAGTATTACAAAGTACAAAAGTTTATATTAGAGAAAACTGAGACATAAGAACGAAATTGAAAAACCAAACTTCAAGAAACTTACTTAGATTAGAATGGAATAGAAGTTTGAGCTCAGATTTGGAAGAGATATAGAGTTCAGAAGATGTTTCTCTGAGAAAAAAAGGTAAGAGAATAGAGAGAATGAGAGAGAAAACTGTTTTGAGGAGAAATAATGAAAGTTTCAATGTTGAGGTACCTTAAATACTCCTCTACTCGCAACATTATCGCTACAGCAAAAAAACCATATATATTTCTCCCTTTTCTATGTGTCATTTTTGCTGTAACGAGAATCTCCTAATTCCAGTGAGAGTAGTGGTTCACTTTATCTGCTTCTCACTACAACGAGACTCTTTCACTACAGCGAGAAGGCTTCTGAAAGCCTGATTTTTGGATAGTCTTCTTCGTTACAGTGAGACATATCTTGTTATCTCGAGAAATCTTGTGCCAAAATTCCTATTTCTTTCATATAAGGGCAATAAAATTGAGGTGTTACAAGTTGATTCACATATTTAGTAATAAACTATTTAGTTTTAACACACTAAAAAAAATTAACTCAAAATAAAATATTAAATTAAAATTTTCTATTATACAAATGAAATTAAAAACTTATCAAAACAAATAAATAATTTTATAAATTTTTATTAAATTAATTATTAGAATATCTTAATACTATAAAAACATTCAATTATGAATTGCTATAAGAATAATTAAGTTTTATAATAGTTAATTTAAATGTCATATTGACGGAGTATTCTAATTTATTAGTAATATAAATTTTTAAGAAAATAATGTATTAATAATTAAACTTCATTTTACTTTAGTGTTTAAGAGCTGATATTTTATTTTTAGATTTTTAAAAATAATCTAATTTAATTAATTTAATTATTAAAAGAGTATTTACAAAAGATTATAAAAATTTATGAAAATACTTTATAATTATTTTAATATTTTTTTTAATATAACTTAAGAAAAATTAGTGTTTTCGTTGTCTATCTTAAGGTAAACTTCAATATTTTTCTTTAACTTTTTTCCTCTTCGTCCTTTAACTTGTAAAAATATTTAAAATACGTCATTTTTATTAAAAATGCTAATTTTGTTAATATTTTTTTATTATTTTCTGTCACATAAATTGTTTAAGTACTGTCCATCTTCTTCTCATATGTGTGTGTCTTTGTTATCTCTCACATAAACTAAGAAACCTTCTCAATTTCTCACCGAAAATGTACACATTTTTTTTTCAATTCTCAGTTATTCTTCTATTTTCATTACCACCTATTGCCATTTTCAGGCCTACATAAACCTTAAGAACCACTTCTGAATAGGATAAAAATTTAAATGTAACAAGTTAAGATATTTATTTATCAATTAATTAGTGTTTGCTATTTTGCTCTAAAAGAAAAATATTGTAAAGAATCCGTAAATTGAGAAGATAAATACCACTCAAACTACTCTTGTGAATTATGATAGTAAAATGATAATATTGTATCATTATCTCCATGTGGTTTACTATATTAATCTAGTCATTATTTTCCTTTAACTTTTCTTTGTGCTTAATATATTTTTAATAGACTACCAAAAAACTATAATTGCATTAGACCAGGATACTTAAGCAAATAATATTTCAAGATAAAATTAGTGAAAATTCTAGAGTGGTTGTGGTGTTTGCTATTGAAGTTTAGGTTCAAATATCTCCTACACCAATGAAAAGGAATACATCAATTAGAAGATACTATTAAGCAGAAGGGGATGATCTACTCATTGTAAGGGCCAATGGAGAAATTTTATTAGTGAAAGGTAAAAAGGATGTGTTTGAATTGCCAAATTTGATGGGATCAATTTTAGAAGTATTAAGGAAATAGAGAGTTTGGATCTTCTTATAGATGACTAATGGAATTGTTGTGATTATGAAAAGAACCAAAAAAAAAAAAAAATGAAACAGAAGAAAAAGTGAAAAAGAATTAAAGTGATTTGAAAAAGATGATGAACAATCTTACATAAGAGAAAATGATAAAGACTTTTAATGTTAGAGTATTAAAAAAGAAAAGAAAAGTTAGAGGATAAAATCAAAATTAAAAACACTATTTTTACTTATAATTTATTAAAATATTTATTAAAAAACTTATATTCAAATTTATGACATAAAAATTTGTATAAAAATATATAGTAAATAAATATTTAATTAAATTATGTTCCTAATGATCCTCCCTGCTTTGTTAGTGGAGGTTGTTAGATAATAATATGATGCAGAGAAGAAAAGAAAACATGAAAAAGAAAATCCAACAGTGTAACTTAAGTTGCTAATATTTAGCAATTTATTTTTTATTCCAATTAGATAATAATATGATGCAGAGAAGAAAAGAAAACATGAAAAAGAAAATCCAACAGTGTAACTTAAGTTGCTAATATTTAGCAATTTATTTTTTATTCCAAACCCTTACGTGTTTGGATTTTTCTTCCCATATTATAAATAAATAAATAAAATCCGATGTGTTGTCACTCTGTAACGAGAAATTTTTTTCTCATTTTTCGAAAAAAAAAAAAAGATAGAGATACACTGAGATTCTCATCTCACAATCTCAGTTTCTTCTCATTTTAATTTTCTCTTCTCATTTTCTGTTTCCTCTGTTCTCTGCGGGACTTGGTTATAGCCCCATCGTGGAGAACGCGTTGACCACTTTCTTAGCCCAGTTCCTCCAATCCGAAGTTTTGATCTTTTCGGAGATTTTTGAAGTTGGAACATGATTTTGAGTCAACTGGGTCAAATGGGTTTCTTCCAAATCCTTAGATTGTTGTAAATTATCTTTTCTGGCTTGAATTTTGCTTTGTGTGTCTGTGAGTGTGTGGGTGTGTGTAGTTGTTGATGAATATGACTTCCAAAGATGTTAATGGGTGCATCATAGATAAACCTGTGGTGGCTTCTTCTTTGGGTGGTGACAAGGTTGAAGATCATGTCAACGGAGAAGATGAAAGTGATTCCAATTCTTTGTTGCCTCCTCGGAGAGATGTCATGTCCCGCAACTCTGAGAAGACACGCCGGAAAGTGCAGTGGAATGATAAGAATGGAAACAAGCTTGTTGAGGTGTTGGTATATGAGCCAAGGTAACTATTTTTGTTTTTTATTTTTTTTTAATTACTAAATCTTGGTGAATTTTGCTAGGCTATTTGGATTGTTCTGTTTTTGTCTTTATTTGTTTTCTATTTATGGTAACTTGTTTCCAATTTTATGATTTGGATGTTCACTTGGTTATAATTGGAACATTTGTTATGTACTGGTTATTATTGACTATTGCTGTAAGAAGATGAAAGTTGACATGTTTTTGATTTTCCTAATTTGGGGCATGTGGTGAAATTTTTGCTAAATTTATGTTGTGTGAAGCATTGATGACATGTCTGTGACTCTAGATTTGTGTGTGAAATGTTTTGTGATGGTAAGGTGATATTTTTTTGCACAATGTAAGTAACTCTTCCAGAGTGAGTTTAATGAAGACTCTGGAAACTTTGGTTTCTGTCATCTTCATGTTCATTAGACTTGAAAGTCTCGGCGGAAGAAGTTAGCTTTTGTTTGATCAGTTGCATGTGTTTTTGATGACCAATGACCATATTTTATTTGAAATTACCTGTATTTTATGTTAGGAGTATCTGGATCAACATTAGGTAATTCTGCTTTCAGTTATCTCTCAGAAGGCTAAATTGAAGTAGAAATGAGAAAATTATTGTGTTTACAAATGTTCACAGAATATTGTGCGGGGACAATTAATGGATGTTTTGTTTGGGTCTTTAGAGGTTCTTTGAACCAGCACATTCATCTTTATATAGACATTTTTGGTCCTGTTTTTCTTTTCATTTCACTGTTTTTCCAATTGACTTTTGGACCTTTTGTCAGTGCTAAAAGTTTCCCAAAATGAGAAAAAAATAAATTTCAACTTAATTAATGGCAAGACCATGTTTTAACTTGTTCTTCTATCACCAAAAAAGAATAATCTAGTTTTTAACTTGATTTTTCTGCATTTTTAACTTGATTTTTCTGCATTTTTTTTAAAAATCAGTTTGAACTTAATTCTTGGGTTTACAATGTCTTTGGCTCTTTAGAACTCTTGGTTAACTCCTATACAGGTTGGCCTGTATACCATGTCACAGCTTCAGACTTCAGATCAGATCGTAGTTTGACCCAGTAAATTAAAAATCCTTCTAGTTTCTCTGCGGCCCAGTTTGCTTCAGCCTTATTGCAGGATAGTTGATATTTTTGTAGGATTTTATATTTAAATGGTACTTTTAGAGGGTGTTTTCTTCGACCGATTCTCAGTAAGATTTGAATTTGGAGGGCACTTCAGCTGTTACATTCTTTTTGTGTGACCCTCGTTTCTTTATCTAAAGGGCATGATATTTTGTCCTCCATTAGGTGCCCTCTTTTGACTAACAGGATTCTTATGTCATGACTGTTAAAAAATTATTGTGATCTCTGATTGTTTGCTTCTTAGGTACTTGGTTCAATTTAATTTTAAGAAATAATCCCTTATTTTTTTGTAGCTTCCTGAGACAGCTTTTGGAAAACAAGTGATTATTTCTTCAAAAGTAATTATTTCCAAACATGTCTTAGAATAAATGGCAAAGCCAAAAAGATTTAAAGAACATCAAATTAGGTTTTAAATTAGAAAAGATTCATTTGTTTAAACTTTAGACTTTCTGCAGATTTGTAAAATATTTGTCAAGTGATGTCTGAGTTTTAAAGCTAAGGCTTTTAGGATTTGCCGATAATTTGATATGTCATAGCCGATGTTTCCTAAAGTTCCTGATGTCTCCATATGTTAGAGTTAGACCTTACTAGAACAAACTTATGGAGGCCTTTTCTTAATCTTTTGATCACTTGAGTGTCAACACTTGAAAAAAAGGAAAAAACCATTGTCATTAACTGGTATAAATGGTCTTTGGTGGGCAAAATCAATGTAATCTTTCAGCAAAACAAAAATTTACAAAAATTTTATTCTTTGATAATTAGTAATGCTTTTAACTGTACTCTAAAAGGAAAATGTTGATGTAAGTTCCCTGCAGTAATTGGTTAACTTCAGAAAAGATTGCTGGAGTACTTTTGCCTAGTGCTCCTACAATCAATGTTTCCTTTAAGTAGTGGACTCTGTGATTGACAACGAGTGTGAAACATGGGTAAAATTTTTCCTTGGTCTGTGGAAAACGTAGTATTCTCTGATTCTTTAGCACATTCCTCTGATGCATCATAATTTCCTTAGCAAAAGCAATTTGAATACCTAAAATTCATTTATTATGTTTAATGAATCTTGAGCTTACAGCATTGTATTATTAGCACATTTTGGAAAATATGAAACCCATTATCCTCATCAATATAGAATAAAAGAGGTGCTACTGAAATAATAGGAACAGGGATTTTTCTGTTTTCCTTTCTTATTCATTTTTTGCCTGTGGTAAGTGAAAGTCAAAGCTAGAATAGAGTTAAAGACTACATTTTAGATCTGTGGCTTTGTGAATTAGTTAGGAATGAATGACAGAACAGAGGAAGATCAAGGAACAAATATAAAGGTTAGATGGTTTTGATGAGGAAGAGCTTATTTTTAAGGTGTTTTACTTTGATGCAGACTGGAAAAAATTCAGAGAAATAGGGATTTATGTAAGTTCTGAGATCAAATTTCCTTCTGCTCACTTATGAAGTGAAAAATGCAATAATCCCTTGTTCGGATTCTGAAGCATAACCTGTGGTCTACTGAGGGAGGATTTATTGGTCAATGATTCTGCTTATATAGGAAAGATATAAAAAATGGCTGCATGTATTAACATGAGTGAACTTATGGCGACACCTATAGAAACTATGGGGATAAAACTTCTGGCATATAGAAACACTGGAAGAAAGTGAAAGAAGAAAATTTAACATGGAAGTGGTAAGTTTTGAATGCTGTTATTGTTTTGTGCAAAGGGGAAGATATACCGCTTAACCGAATAACTTGATGTGACTATTAGCTTTTTGAGATAAATTAGACTCGTTTCGTCTTGTGTTTTATCTTGATCTACTGAAATCATGTAATTAGATCTATAGTTGATACAATGGTTTGAAAAATTTTGGAGCTGCACCTGTGCCGGTTGAGTTAATTAGGTGAAAGTGTACTTTTAAAATTTTGTCAAGGGAAAAAAGTAGGAAGAAAAAAAATAGTTCTTTTTTATGTTTTTGTCTCTTTGGGATACAAGTTCAAAACGTTTGCATTCTGCAATACAATTCCAATGTAACAAATTGTAATTGACCATGATAATCAGTCCTATGTTATATTGAGATAACACCAGAATTGTGTCACATTTGGTCTCCCATTATGTCTGCAGTGATGTCAGTGACTCAGAAGAAGAGGATTCAGATTCTTGTATCTGTACAATAATGTAGAGATCATCTTGTTAACTGTCTCAAACTCTGCTGGATTAATCAGGGGTCATTATTGTTGCTTGCAAGCCTTGAATTATGACAACCCAGCAGGCTTGATCTTCGTTTTGAGGTGGGACAAAAGTCCAATAAACCAGGACCTGCGGCTTCTCACGTCTACTAACACATGGATCCAGTTCATCTTACTGGGTTTTTGAGATGATTTCTTAGATGGACTTTGGGGTTAGTTCTCGGATGTATATCAAAATACACATGATAGCAATATGATTAGGCAGTGGTGAGGCATTTAGCTTTCATGCTTTGCCACATCTTCTGATACTGTAAAAGTTGTGCTCTCAATTGCTTTTTTATCTTTATAATTAAAGAGGAGACAACTGTATTATTTCCTTTTGTTTCCCTGCTTCCTCTATATATGGAACAAATTTTCATGATATGGTATTCATTCTCAAGTAATTTGTTGAAACCATGTCCCTGTGTACTGCTTGCATCTTTGCTGTAGAATGAGTGTTTAATTTATATTCAGTTCTACTCTTTATGTGACTCTACTCTTCATATCAAACAGACTCTCTAGACAAGAGTCTCCTATTTGGGAATCTATTTACTCCAGAGTATGTTTGACTTGATGAGAACTTTCTATTGACGTTGAATTTTATCAATCCAATTACTAAAAGAGAAGTTCTCATGAGGTAGATTAAGGTTCAGTTTGGAAGATTTCATTAAAATATAAGATTTTTTTAAGCTTTTATCAGCTTATTTCAATTAGCTATTCAATATAACTTATTAAAATAAGATCTTTTCAATTTATTTCAAGATATTTTATAGTCAAACATGAAATAAGTCCTCATGTAAAAAGTGATTATTGAATAAATGTTTAATTAAGCTATGTTTTCAAATGAAACTAAGTTCTTAAAATTTTATAAAACTGAATAATTAATTGATATTTTGTTAGATTACTTTAATTTCTTTTGTATTATGGTTTTGGAATGCAAGTAAATGTCAATTTTAGAGTAGATAGGTGCAATATGAAGGCAAACATAGACAGAACCTCACTCCATTTTTCGTTACAACATTACTATTGACAGCGAAACTCAGAATAAGAATAACGAATACTCAATCATTCCAACTGGCTCATGCCAACTTGCAGAAGCATAAATGACAGAAGAATCAAATTTGATGCGTCCTCCACCGTCATTGGTGTCCCCAGACAGGGTGTTAACATTGTATTGCACTGTACCATGTGATTTCTCCCCAACTGAAAATTGGGCTGTCAAATCAATGAAATTAAGGGCCTATTAGCTTGAGAAAATGTTTTCAAATTTCAGTTTTAATTATAAAAAATATATTTTATTTCTTATTTTCAAAGATTTGTATAATAAATAGTGAAAATAATTTGTTCATTATTTCCTAAGCAAATATTTGAAAACATAAAATTAAATAAAGATGAAGTTTTTGTAATTAAAAGAAAAAATAGTAAACTAAAATTAAAATATTTTTTAAAAAACCAAACATTCCCTAATATTTTCTAGATTTTTGTTCTCTGTCATGCTCTCGTCATTGAATGGAGAGAGAGTTAAGCTTTTTCCGGAGATTATTTGATCTGGTGGAGCATTCTTCTTCTTGCTACTATGCTTATTACTTGACGTGTTGATGTAACTTTTGCTATGATTTCTTTCCATTGAGTCAGGTTCTCTCTACAGGGCTTATTACAAAATGCATGTACCTGCTTCTGCCTTGTACACTTAAATTTGATTTCAGCTCTGCATCATTTGGAGCAAGTGGCAACTGATTCTTTGTTCTTACTTCTTCCACAAAGGAATATAGCTCAAGAAACTCTTTCTGTTGTGTTTTTATATGCTTCAATATCATTGTTGTCTTCTCTACCACCACTGTCCCCATCATCTCCATCATCAAATTCATCATGATGATCATCATATTATGCATCAATATCAGATTACTCCTATGCCATTTCATGTTCCTCATCACAATCTTCTCAGCACTTGTTATATATGCAGTTAGACGGATACATAGCTGTCAAAGCTGCAGATCCTTCTGTTTCTCCATTGCTCTTGTCACTTTCTTCTTCCTAACAAGAAGTATTAACAACACATTTTCTTTTACACTCTTATTTATTAGCTAAAATTTATTGAGACTCGATATATTAAGAACGAGACACATAATTTTTGGGACTTTTTATAAACTTCAACTAATAATAAAGAACATATTTGAACTAGTATAATAGAGAATATACTGCTAATATTTCTCTGTCATCTGTCCAAAATCTGATAAGTATTGGGGTTTGGCTGATATATCTGTATGTTCAAAATATACCTCACTTTCTTTCTGTTTATGCTGCTAATTTGCTCCTTATATTTATCTCTATGTCTACCAAAGTCATATATATATATATATATATACTGGAGAAGAATCTTCTTACATCAGTATAAGTTTAAAAACTCTTATACCCAATCTGAGCCTTTCATTTAACTTAAATCTAACGGATTATAATTTATTACTTTATTGACCATTATATTTAAGTTAAATGAAAGTCTTAGATTGAGGGTAAGTTTTTAGACTTACACCTGGGTAAGAAGATCCTGTCCCTATATATATATATATAACTTATTAGATGTAAATCAAATGAAAAGTTCAGATTTAGTGTAAGAATTTTTAGACTTACACTGGTGTAATAAGATCCTGCCCCTATATATATAATAAAAATGAAAGTTTTTATGATAAATTATCAGTAAACATATTCTCTTAATTTTTGATATAATTTTGTTGTATCTTTAAGTAAATTTTTATTGATTAAGTCTTTAATCAATGATTTAAAAATACTCGTTAGTAGAGATGGTAAAAAAATACACACCAACATGTCCTTGCGATAATACTCATTGCATTTCAGGTTTAGAATTTCAAACATGAACTCGCAAGTGAAATAAATGAATTTTTTTGTACCCATTAATTAAATAGGGCAGGGTTAGGTAGCGAGATACTCGTGCCTCTAGGTACTCATTTATTATAAAATTGCTCGTTTTATATGAATGCACTAGTGTAAAAATGACATTTTAGAACATGATTTTATATTGATTATACAAGAATCAATATAAAAAAGAAAGGCAGTGACATTTTTTAAATTCATGAGAACTTTTAACATTGGTTCTCTTATAACATATATAAAAAGTACTTATTATATAATGTGTTTATGAAATCGATGTAATAAATACTTTTTACATTGGTTCTAAAAGAAATTGATGTAAAAAAGGTGGAGGAACTTCTTAAATTTTTGTAGGAGATTTTTTAGGTGCTAGTGACTGATGCAAAAAGTCATCTTCAGCTTGATGTTATTTATAGACAGATGAATCTCAACTGCTTTCCTCCTTTCATGGGCACTTCTTGATAATTGCCTTCTGTGTGCTCTTCAACTGTTGTTACCCATTATCCATAATTATTTGTGATAATACCTTCTCCATAACTGTTATCATCTACGATCGGTTCTTTGTGTCTCTGACCTTCAACTGGTAGTAACCACTGGTAATTGCTCTTTTGGTAGTCGCTTCAAACCTTGCAGTTTTTATAATATGTTTCTTCATTTTTTGAGCTCCACCCTGTCTCTTGGACTTATAATAATTTCCTTGTCAATTTTTGTTTTGATAAGTTTTAAGGAAAATCTGTGAGCTTCATCTTATCTTTTAGACTTAGAATAATTTTCTTTGTCAGTTTTTGTTTCAACAAGTTTTAAGCAAAATTCGTTGAAAGACTCTGTTTTGACTGGTTCTGGATGTTTTTAATCTTGGACTCGAAAATTTGCTAAAAACTCCTTGATGCAATTACCCCTAATAATCATGCAAGGGAAAAGGTAGATAAAATATAAAGACCTTATGAGTTTGTTAATTTAATAACGGTTAGAAGTGAAGAATTAAGTTTAATTCATCTAACCTTTTGTTTCGTTTTATCCCATTAATTACATGTGATATAGTTGCCTACGATGCAACTAATTATGAGATGTTAAGGGTGATAACTTCTTAACATGCAAAATTCAATTCAATAGGATAAAAACCAAATATTAAAAAGAAACCAACATCATCCTTAAATATAAAAATCATATAGAGTATGCAATAAGATCTACCATAATTCTAGCTATGGATTTAGTTACTCATAATAAAGCAAACAACAAAAGCATTGTAAACAAATTCATAAAAACTTTAGGAGAATTCAAACTGAAGAAACCAAAAAGGGAAAGAAAATGAAAGTTCTTGTTCTCCAAGTAGCACTCAATCACTTGCTCAGACTTTGAAGGAACACTTATCGTTTTTGCCAATGATCTACTACCCTTCAATAACTCTAAATGGTTGATTAAGTTAGAGTTTTGAAGAAGAATTTGATGATGAGGGGATGCTTTGTTAGGAGCATAGAGCTTCTTTATATAGGGTGTTGAATGGCCTTCAATAGATAAGTTTTATCTTCAAGAAAGGAAATTAGCATTGCCAACCTTCAAAATCTCAGCTAAAATCTCTTTCAAAATTTTAGATCTTCATCTAAATTAAAACTACCGAAATTTAAAAATCAAATTTAAAATTTTGAACTCAAATTCAATTAGCATTGCTTAGGGCTTAGGGCTTCGAAGCACGCTCATGACAAGTTGCGAAGTAAGGTCGTGCTTGGTTACGAAAGAGGCCTTGATTTTAGCTAATATTATTCAATTTTTGTTCAAAATATTTCCATAATGCATTTGTAATTGCTCCAAGCGAAATTGCAACAATTAATAATATAATTGGTGTGAAATACCCATAAAATAAGCTCCAAGTATATAAATATAAGTTATAAAACATATTAAATTATTGACATATTAAATTTCAAAGGAAAAGAGATAATAAAAGCTCTTGTCCTCAAGACATACTCTCGATCACTTGCTCAGACTCCAAAAAGATATCTTACGTCTTTACCAATAATCTCAACTCCCAAATAAATCCCAAAGTTATTACAAGTCAGCTAGGATAAAGCATCTGAGTTCAAAGATCTTTGATAAAAAGGTGTCTCCTTCAAGTGTGTGAGACTTTTTTATACAGAACACAAAAGATGATAGGTTTTTGCCCCTAAGAGATATGTTTTATCTTTAATAAAGATATGACATATTAAGAGAAAGATCTAATTTCCTGTTGTCAAATTTAAAGTTTAAATTATCTCTTTGCAGGCCTTTTAGAAATCTCTAAGTTTGTTGCACCAAAAGAACAAAGCATAACTATGCATACCCTTCAACTCAGCTATGTATGGTTACAAATTACACCTAAGCAAGCTGTTAAGCAAGGTCATGCTTCCTGTTGTGACCCTGCTTTCTATCAAAATTTCTCCAATTTTGATCAAAATATTTCTTTAATTTATTGATAATTGACTCGTGATAATCTAATCAGAGCCTGCAATAACCATATCATCAACATAAACAAGAACAATACCATTTGCAATTTTATGAATGAATAAGGATCAGTCATACTAGCACT